AAATGGTGTAAAGCACTTATATTCAAGAGTGTTTTCACCACTTTTAAGATAAAATAGGATGTTTACCAATCAACGTTGAATGAGAAGAGAGTTACTTTACCGAAATCTTCGCATGAAGCAACATGTGTTTGCTTTAATTTGTACACAAAGTTTTGACCCATTGAAACCAAAAGAAAACACATAAAAGTTGGTAACTTGCAATTTATTTGGTGTTGGCAAATCAACAGATATATAAATTAGATAATCCTCTGACGTTGGCATAAACGTTCACATTACAACATAAATAGACAGACTGAGTGCAAATTTACAGACATGATGCAGATGTGCTCCCGGTGTAAATATTCACACATGTGTAAACGCGTTCACATGACAACTAAACTCACGTGTGTATTTTTACACACGTATGCAAATATATAGAGGTTATCACGCGAGTGTGTTTGGGGATGGTAAATATCCTGCATTAGGAATAAACATTGTATTTAGCGAGCCTTACTATTCACGAGTTTCATAAAATTGGTTTTACACGGGAGCGAGTTTAGTATTTTATTTATTACTTGCCATTTATAACGTTTTTTAATTATACTGTTGAGTATGAATAGGCTGACACGATCCACGACATAGTCCAATTGAGTTTAACAGAATAAAACTTCAAAAACGTCAAAAGTTGAAACGTATGAATTTCATACCATACAGAATTCACAAAATTATCGTAGGGCTAAGGCTATCGCATCTCACATATTTTAACTTAGACTAACGACTGTCGTTGCGCTACAATACGATAGCCTTGTGGAACGGGCCTTGCATCTCAAAGTTTTCAGTAACGTCACAATACCCGATGACGTAATTTGTGGAATTTTGTTGCAAGATCCATCGGCGAAACAATGCCATGTGACGTCAGCCTAGCAACAAGGTTGCTGGGGTCATCGCGTGTGCATAAGCTCCTCTCAGTGATCTATCAACACTACACGCAATGTCGTTGAATACGCCAAAGGATGTTGAGAGCTTTCAATATTTGTTCGTGAAACGTGTTCCGAGAGTACATAAGCACGCGTTTTGGTATTACACAATGTGTAATAAAGCTGTATGTTTATTAAACGGGTGATCTCTTCACGGGCAAGTAATAAACACACATATGTATGGAGGTGCGCGTGAACGGGGTGTATGACAGCACGGGACATTTACGCGTGTCACACTGTCTCCCTTCTTAATGTCTGTGACGCAATGTGTACCCACAAGAGGTAACTGTCACTACACAGCGGTGTTTGTATGTGTAAATATTGTAATATAAGGACAGTTTTGATCGTAGTCTGGTGACAGGAGATATTGCCCATGCCAACCAGCTATGACTGTAACTGACACTCACGCGAGTAGAACCAAGCTATTCAGACTTCATGTAGGTCAACACAGACAACTCGTGTTTTATGGCCGAGGTCGCGAATATGATATAGCTTTGAAAGTTTCGAAATCCATTTGAAGCTACCCGTAATTGTTTCGGGATGATTGTCATGGGTGTGTTTGTAGGTATACTTGTCTACGTCACTTTATATGTATATGTTGAAAGTCCGCGTGATCGTTTTATTATAATTTTGTCCTTCATGCTAAAGCGACAAGCGCGAAATTCCAACAAAGGACAGCGTCAATAGATCCGAACTGGATTCTCCGCCACATAAGGAAGTGTGGATGATGACGTGGGTCGTTGCCGGTTGTGCAAGGTTGTTTTGTCGCGGAATGGGAAATATTTCTTATTCTGTTTTACAAATATCAATACGCTGATAGTCATCCTGTATTTAAATTCAACATTGCCTAATCCACTGGATGCAACAATCCCCAAGTCTGTCGTCAATGTTAATCAAAATACATGTACTACCAATAACACGGACCGATACTATGCATGATTTAGAGGGTTGTTTTGGATAGAAGTGAATAGATATATCAGCAAGTGACCTATTTATGATTGCTGCTCGAAGCGAAACACGGAAACACAAGTAATTCGTCGCACTTTGTGAGAAACTGAAACTAAAATCTGTCTCTCTCTCTCTCTCTCTCTCTCTCTCTCTCTCTCTCTCTCTATCTATCTGACGATGCACACATTTATTTTGACTTGTATATTTTTGAGTGAAAATAAAGCTTCAGTCAACATCAGTGAACGCATGGTCTGATCGTTTGAGACATGTAACTGAATAGTTTTAGCCAGGGCTGCAGAAAAGTTTTTACCAATCAGACATTTTGTTCCCTACTCTTGAGACCTTCAGTGTGTATCCAGGTAGGGTCGGGTAATAGGGGGTCGGGTATCCGGGTAGTAAATTTGGACTCGTCCCAGCCCTAATGCATAGACGCAAATGACACCTGCCTTTTCCTCGTGTATGCATTCACATGACCATGAACGCGGCTTGCCTAATGTCAAGGAACACACGTGGTTGACTCACGCAGAGATCACCCGAGAGGTAGCCACGCCCCCTAGCCGCGAGATTTCGCAATGTTGTTAACCGAAAGATATCTCAGGCGACAGTTTGTTGTCGATAGCTATTATATTTACTACTTCCTTCATTGCCCGCGTCCATATCAGGGCATTCAATGTCATGTAGAGTTCATTTCTTCCGTGATCTTTTCTCGTGCCATACAGGACACGTTGAGCAACTGTGTAGTCTTTTCATACCAATTGTGCCTACCACGTTTTGACTGCCTTATACTATATGCTGGTAAGTGTACGATTGTGCTTACTTCCAACCTTATTTTTGTAGTGATCGTGGATTCCAGTCATTCTTACTTACTATAAGTTGACTGTAGATTACAATGTAATATCAATTTTGAAATTTGGAAGTAATTGTTTAATTTTTCATTCTGTTTATCTGTTAAATTTCCTCATACACATATACAAGTAATGCCGGTTGTGTAATAATATAATCATTGACACGTTTTGTCATGTGCTTTTGTTCCGAGAGCGGTCGGGTAACCTAGTGGTTAAAGCGTTCGCTCGTCACGCCGAAGACCCGGGTTCGATTACCGACATGGGTACAATGTGTTAAGCCCATTTCTGGTGTTCCCCGCCGTGATATTGCTGGGATATTGCTAAAAGCGGCGTAAAACCATATTCACTCACTCACTTTTGTTTCGAGTGCTTACTACGTCCCTTGACCATCCCAGGATCCGCTGATCGTGAGTTCGAATTCCAGATGTAACTGAAGTACTATTCAAAACGGCGTTAAACCCAATTCATTACCTCACTGGAGTGATCAATCAGCAAGAATAGTGTCACGTCCCATTTATTGAGTAGTATTTGAAAAATAATGCTGCTTTTCTCAAAGGGGTTCAAATATAAATATAAGGCCACATTAATGCTTCATAAATGTCGAAAGTATCACACCTTTTATCAAATTGCAATACACTACTATTAACAAGCAATGAGTATGACACTCTGTCTATACACGATGGAACGATTCAATGTATGTTAATCTAACCACACCTCAGTATATCCGATATCATTTGTGTTGCAATATGACAATGGAAAAAAACCATTATATCAGTATGTCCCAATATCTTTCAATGACAGACGGATCAATGATTTTGTAAACTGGGGCACATTTCTCATTCTTAAACTTTAGGTGTGAAGGGGGTGGGGGTCATATATTGATTTCTGTGGGTGAGGTGATCGGGTGAAGGGTCCAGTTGGGATTTTGTAACTTCATTTGGGGATGGGTGGGGATGTTGTTTGTTTGTTGTTTGTTTGTTGTTTAACGCCGCAGTCAGCAATATTCCAGCTATATGACGGCGGTCTGTAAATAATCGAGTCTGGACCAGACAATCCAGTGATTGACATCATGAACATCGATCCACGCAATTGGGATCGATGACAAGCATCAACCAAGTCAGTGAGCCTGACCATCCGATCCCGTTAGTCGCCTCTTACGACAAGTATAGTCGCTTTTTACGACAAGCATGGGTTTCTGAAGACCTATTCTACCCCGGATCTGCACGGGTCTCTTATTTGGAGGATCCATATAGTAACATGCAGTCATTTCTTCGTCGCTTCAGCCTGAATATGCATAACAGGTCGCCATAGCCTACAGCTGTTGAATTGCGGACTACGGAAGTAACAACTCTCGACCTCCTTCATTTTCAATGTGTTCCTCCGTGTGTCACTGCATACACTATTGAAAAAGGAAATGCAACACTTTCCAGTTATGTGAGCTGTGATGCCCGGTGATGGCACAACAGTAATTTTACCATGACAAAAGTAACACCATGTCATTTTCGTCATGGGAAGGTAGGGTCAAATCACGTTGAGCAGTTCAAAGTTGATTCCGCAAGTAACGACATAAATTGATAGATAATACCAGCTACACCTCGACCAGCATACATTTATTAGCATGCAGTGGTGAGGGCACACGGTATATTGAACCTAGCCCAAGACAGTTCCCAAAGATGATGGACTGAATGTGCTGTGGTGCATTTGTCTTGTTATGTACAGCGTTTGACAGGAAGGAGGAAGCAGCGCGAATCAACGTGGTGTACGTGGAAAGATTGACGTTAATAGTGTGTTTCTGCTAAGACAATTACAAAAAACTGTCTTCAGTTATGATTCTTCACAATGACCAAACCTGAAATATGCTAAAAAAATCAGTACAAGAAATAGCTTGTTTCATAATCTGCACGGCCTTTCCGTGGTTCATTGTGTTGTTTCAAGATATGTAAAACATTGCTGCATCCTTGTGTGTTTGATAAAATGTTTCAGCCACAGATTGATAACCCATACTAACGGGATCGGGTAGTCAGATTCGCTGACTTGGTTGATGCGTGTCATCGTATCCAAATTGCATAGATCAATGCTCATGATGTCAACCCCTGGGTTGTCTGGTCCAGACTCGATTATATACAGACTGCCGTCATATAGCAGGAATATTGCTGAATGCGGCGTTAAACAGCAAAAAAAATAAACTTCAACACGTTTCACAAAGGAACGAACATGTGACTGAATGGTGTATGTGTTGTTACTGTTGCAGGTATTAGAGGAACTCCATGCTGTCCATATCGATGGTTGGGAAAGCCTTATCCCCGATGACGACGTCGGAACATGCTTCAGATGCCTACAAAGACGCTGTCGCCTTTATTGGGCAGCTGCGTAACAATGAGGAGAAGCTTATTGAGAGAGCCAAACTTTTTCTCAAGAAGGACAGAGACTACTGCAAACGCGTCTTTTCAACGCAAGTTGAAGGATGGACACCGTTCCACGCCTTTGTCATGCGTAGTGCAAAAAAACTGGTCAAACTCGCCCTTAAAGCTGGAGTGTGTGCCTATTTAGAAATGGGTGCTCCTGAAGGGTTGCCTAGCAGGTGTACGCCATTGCATCTGGCAGCGCATCGTGGGGACATCAGCATTATACAGATTCTTTTACAAAATGGCGCAATTGTGAACAAACGGGATGGAAGCAATCATACCCCGGTATACTATGCAATGAATGCTAAGCATACACTAGCAGTGAAAAAGTTGATAAAATACGGCAGTGATACTTCTGAGATGACCCCTGCACAAAGGAGGATGTATTACGAATTGACTGAACCGCGTGCCCCAGCGTTATTGTGTCTCCCTACAAGAAGTGCCTCCATTAGGGGTAACAGGAACACGTAATCAAGATCTGGGTTGGAACCCCGAAATCAGGAAACTGTGATACTTTTAATACGCCAGCTCGTCTCATTGGTCAAAATCACCAGGAATATACCACCCTCTAGTGCATTGTGAGCACGTAATATCTTCTACCAATCAGACATCTTCGTTTCGCACTGACGTCAGTGTAACTTCCAAATGCAAATAACAGGAAGTCCTTCAGATCAGGCGAGGTGTCATCTTTTCTTATAAATTCTAATATTTTATACACATTTATCATATTTGTCAGGTATGTGATTGTCAAAATAGTATGAGGTATTCTCCATATCCCATAGTTTAAAGCCATGTAGGTTCCCAACCTGCACGGGGCGAGTTCAAGACGGGGCGAGATGAGACAAAGACAATAACTGAAAAACCAAAGAGTTCCATTTTGTACAATATGAACGTATAATCATCTTGCAGTGAAGGTTGAATCTTTACAACACCTGTTTCTATGCTTGTAGGTAAGTAGTTGTAGGGATCCTTTCGGATTTTTATGGAAAACGCTGTGCCTGTGAGCGTGGATGACAATATACAATATTCATGCTCATATCAAAAAGCAATGACATTAGACCTTCTTAAAGTAAGGTTTTATTTGAATGTTGTTTAAGGAATAATTTGTATTATGATTTCATAATATATATTATGATCAATACAGAAGGGCTCAAATTACGATTGCGTGAAAAATAAAGGAACATAATTGAAGGGAAACTTTGTTAGACATGCCACGTTTATTACGTTGACAATGCTTGATAATTGCTTGGCAAAGAAGTAAAAAACCATTTACTTATTTCGGTATCAAGACTTTCGAGTATACTTAAGCAATTTGTGATGCAATCTATTGTAAAATATGACCTTCTACATTGTTATATGTTCGCCAATTCCATCAGTATGAACACGTTATACGTTATAGCGTGGATTGAACTAGTATATGTACGAGTGTGCAAGAGCTGTTTTGTAACATATTGCACAACTGCAATTTCATATGTGAATAGTTAATAGTACTTTTGTCCCAAACCAATACACACTTTCTGACACTCATTTCTCTTTCTTCGGTTTCTTATAGTTTATAAGAGTCATAACTTTCTTTCTCTTTGACTGGCGGCAGTCTTCATTTCAATCTGAATTAAATGCCATACATGTAGCGTTGTAAAGCAAAGAAAGATACTGCAGCAAAAGTATTATTGCAAATACTGTTTTAATGCATTCGGAGAAATATAATATACCAATTTTGACTGTTATTGGAAATGGGACTGCTTGTAGTCTTGATTTTTGAGTGTTGATTCATATCCATCACACGGCATGAATAGCATGTAGGGAACAATCTCAGTGGAAGCATTTACAATCAAAAATAGATATGTGTAGATATTGTTGATTTCACTGATTCATAACCTCACATTTAAAGTGCACTTATTCGTATCAAAGCTGCCCATTTGTTGTCAGCAGAATGAATGGAGGGTATCCGTACGATGCGTATACTCATGCTGACCTATAGGTCCATTGATGACTGTCTTCATATTGGTATAAAAGCAGTTTTCCTGTTTTACTGCGCAGAGGCACGTTTATGCTGATTGAAGGTACATTGATGACTGTCTGCATATTAATATAAAAGCAGTTGTACAGCTGTTCAGCATATAGTCACGCTTTTCTTCAAGACGCCACCTCTTGTTTTACTGCGTACAAATTATTATGAAGAATCATTGTGGATTTCTTTTCGAAATGTTCAAATTCGTATTTTAACATATTTATGTTTTGGATGTAATTTGTTATTTCTTTGCCAAATGAATGGTTGAATTATGTCATTGTCAGTAACAATTATTATGAAGATGTCTATTTGTTGACATTGCGTTCGTTTGTTAATAGTGCTCATTTGTACTTCACTGTCTGTTCGATTATTGCTGACATAATCCATTCCAACACGAATCAGAGTGCCTTATGTAAAATAGCTGCACACTATCTGTGTTTTCTGTGATATTTGTAACTATATCGTTGTGCTGGGGGATCTTGGTTGGGAGAAGAGCGTATATCTTGTTTGCCTGGCTTCGTCTGATAAAGTAGTAAAAATCGAATCCTGGATAATTTATCAAGATTTCCATGTCGACATTTTACTTGCGGGTAAAAAGACGTGTGTGAGTAAATGTCATATACGATTCAGTCACTTGCCGCATACGATCTTTAGTTTTTATTTGTCGAAATGCCATCCTGGAACGTAATGGTAAAATGTCCAGTTATTTTCAATTCACATCAGTGATGCAAATCATATTCGAAAGGGAAGAGATTGTATGGTCGGGTTGAAACTGCGTGTCATCGTTACCCGATGGCGTGAATCGATCTCAATGCGATCAGTCACCGGTTTGCCCAGTCCAGAATCGATTATTTACAGACAAACATGATCTACATGGCATATCATTGACTTGTGGCACTAACAACATTCACTCATTCGTTGAACCCTGCAAAAGGAAGACTTTTTGAAGTATGACTATCTTTTTTACTCGAGTGTATCTAAACAAGTTCCACATATCTTCAGTTGTCAAGGTCTTGTATGAGCCCCTTCAGCTTAACATTACGCTTAATACCCTTCTTGTTTTCGATGCCACAACGAAATATATTTAATGCCCTGTAGTAAGACATTATTTTTTGCGCATATTGATTAACACCACAAAATTCAAAGAGTAACCAAGCTATTACAACAACCGTTTCTCTTTGAAGAATAGCTTTAATTGGCAAAATTTGGTCAGCGTCAGAAAGACATTTTAAGGAAGGTCAGTGAGTTGTCACAACGTAAAGATATGTACTGGCCTGATACTCTGGTGACAGTGGCTGCCCTTTCTTATTTTATATTTGCTTATTTGACTTTTCTTTATTTAATTTTTCATTTGGTGTTTTTTGGGGTGAAGTACTAATTTTGCTGTGCAGTTCCTTCTGCTAGCGGCCAGCGACCAGCACATTATTAGTAATAAGTTTTTAGTAATACCAATCTTATTTTTATTCTAGTATTATGTTTGTTACGTTTTGAAATATTTATTGTATCAAAAGTGAATTCAATCATTTCACTTCATCTGTCTATACATTCATGCATTGTTTCAATAACGGCAACGTTTGAAGCAGAAACGGTACCCGATGTAACGCCTTTTCATCCTAACGTGTCTGTGCTTCGTCCCACAGACTCATTTAATGAGGGAAAGCTTCATAAGCCAATAGCGGGTTACACACAAGACGAGAATTTAGCAAACTTTTATCATCAGTGTGATTATGGTATATTGTATACGATTTATATAATTAATTGTACACCATTGCAATCAAATTCAATTGTCTGCTAATAGGGGTTGTAGGGTAGCCAATTGGTTAAAGCGTTCGCTCGTCACACCAAAGAATCGAGTTCGATTCCCCACATGAATACAGTGTGTGAAGCCTATTTCTGGGGTTTCCCGCCGTAATATTGCTGGATCATTTGTACTCACACACTCTCTGCCAAATGAGTTGAATTGTAGGCCAAAAACGTGTATGCTATATTTGTTTAATCAGATAATCTAATTTCGTTTATTCGTTTTGGACCATAGTATCACAAGCACATATTTAGGCACAACACTTTAGTTAATGAAAACTCTTTAGGAATTAGATAATGTAAAACCAACCATCAAAACATTAATATTTGTTTGAGTAAAAATATCGGGTAATATGTTCTAAAATAAAACTTTCTTTCCCAAGTTCATATTGGTGTTTTCACGGACAAAAATGAATAGGTTATATTAACTAAACATTGACTGATACCATAAAAAAAACTGGGTATCACCGACATATCGTCACTCGAAGTTTATGTGTCAAATTCATACCAATAGTCCCAAGATTTAAAAATAAGTTAAAATTTACTATGATAAGTTGACCTCAAAGCACAACTTAGAACAAGTAAGAATTTGTAAAAATATTATGCATATAGATGCATAAATGTTGATATGACAAAGGCTTGTTTTTTTAAGATTTATTATTATATGAATTTTATTTACCTAACATACTCGACGTGGTACTTTCTGGTGTATGATGGCAAATTCGGATGTGCCGAGCATCGGATAAGTCGAACTTTTGTGTTTGGTCCAAAGGAGTTCCGAGACAACGAGGTTCAACTGTAATATGCGATTACAAAGGACCCAATGAACGGTATTTGCTATACCGTTATACAAACTTCATAATTAAAAGCTTATGCCTAATATGTTTGAAATGCAGAGATAATGATAGAGCTTTTATTGAAACTGATCCTGTCAAACTGATTATGTTTAATAACATTATGTTGATGTGATAGTACATAGATAAAAGCAGAACTACAACAAGTAATAATTAATAATTAAGTAAGATTCAACATAATGTACAATATTTCTTTTCATCAAATTGGAATTTATTGCATAGTTACACATGGGAGAATGACTGTTAGTATGAAATGTAAACAGAAAGATGTATATCAAATATATTATTTAATTATATATATACGTGTGTATATCTGTTAAGTTTGTCTTATGGTATACCCATGTTCAACATTGGATATAACGAATGACATTATAAAT